TACCATGGAAATGGGGATTACAGAAGTTTTTGGCGGGTTTTATCCTAAACCTCCATTGCCATCAGCCGCCGCCTATAAAAAATTATGAATTTTCATTTTCCGATGGTTATTTTTATTTTTTTCTAAAATACGTAATATCTTTATGTCAAATTTATAAAGTTTAGCTGAACAATATTCCAAAGTCTATGCCAATGTTTTGCGCTTTATTAATGAACATGATTGCTTTAATAAGTATTGTAAACACAGCTAGTATAAAGGAAAAAATTATCAATAAAGTTTTTACCAACCTTATAATTTAAAACCAACTGAAATCATTTCATTTTTTTTAAATATTTTATTTTGGTGCATAATTATAAAATAATTGAACTCGCTTTATGAGTTATTAACAAAATAAGTAAAAATTTCCAAAATTAGCTTCTTATTAGAAATAGAAAATATTGAAGAGCTAAATATCTGGTTTGCTTTAATGCTTAGCGATTGTTAATTCCTCAATCATATTTTGCGAAAGGAAACCCAGTTATAAATATCTAAACCATGAAATGCTTAATTACTACAATTTATTGCTTTCACCTATTTGGTAAATGGATTAAAGAGAAAATAATTATTGGTATAAATAAAATTTCAAAATTAATATTAAAATATAGAAGTTTTAAATATCGGGTTTAAGGGTCTTACTTATTAATCTTTAATAAATCAATTTCGACAACCCAAAAATGTAACGGAATTATAAAATCAAATAAAAACGATAATATGGCGCCTTAATAGTGTCAGTCAAAAATTTGGAAGCATATACTTAAACCTGTGCGCCGGCCGTTATCCGGCCGCCGACCTTTTTTGGTTACGCCGAAAACGCCGCCGTTTAAGAAAATAAGGCCTGCGCGCCGCCGATTTTCACGGCCGGTGCAGAAATTTCTTTTATATTTCATACCTTTTTATTCTAATAATTGGTTAACATCACTGTTGTAATTTTTTTAATATCAATCAGGATTTTGATGAATTTTTATTTTCTACTATTTTAAAATCATAATTATATTGACGTCATTATAGAATTCAATCAATCAAAAATCTAAAATTCCAAAAGTTACCATAATTTTACATATTTTTAAAATGGATGCATCTACATTTAATAATTCTATAAATAATTTTAGTATCCTAACTCTGGATAATTAAAAATTCATAGTCTGGAAATTTTTTTGCAAAAGAATTAGAGAAATTATTACTGCTCTAAGATATAAAACTGCAGAGGTTGAATTTGATTAACATCAGACATGTTAGATCTTGACAACAATGTTCCATACCCGGATACCCATTTTCAAATTGACAATTCCAATGATAATAATAACAATAATTCCAGGCATATGAAAACCTTAAAATAAAATGTCCCAACACGTTGGCATAGTATATTATTTATTCTAGAAAGCATATCTGGATTAAATAAGATTTAATTAGTAATGTTATGAAAAGAATTGGGAAGCACTTTCTCAAAAAATTATGAATCTGAGCTGTTAGAAGAACGATTAGTATTTCTTAAAAATATAAAAAAACTGTCGAATTTCTTTCAGTATAAAAAGGGCCTACTTTAAACTTGGTGTTACTTTTTAGAAGTGAAATTGAAACAAATTTAATACTAAATGATAGTGATAATTCTGAAATCATTTCACTTAAGGAAAATATGCTAAAAAAATTTGCGTTACGATTTTCGGTGTGTGATTTGCAAGTAATAATATATAAGTATATTCTTTTATTTTTTATTTAAAAATATCTAGGTATTGGCTTCTCTTTTAGATCCAAGATTTTAAAAATTGACAATTGTGTCAAAGTATTTAATAGAGCAAAATTGTTCAGCTTCAGAATTTATAATAAAACATCTTAAACTTATAGAGAATGATGATAATCAGGTAGTAAATATAGTTTATGAGGATCAAGATGAATTATTAAATTTAAGTTATTTGACAAAATTGGTAAATAAACATTCAACAAATATAAATTATGATTCCAAGTTAGGTGACTTAGAACATGAATGCCACAGTTTTCTTGGAAAACGATATTCACAAGATATGGACGTTCTAAATTTTCTGAGAGAAAAGAAAAGTAAACTTCCCAATCTTTCCAGGCTAGCCAAAAAATTCTTTGCATTCGGGTGACTATAGTGAAAGAGTTTTTTCTACCGCTGGATTGATGTTAAATTCAAGGGGATCATTATTATCCCGAAAATTTATATAAAATAATTTTATTCATGATAATTATAAAATTACAAAATCGATTTTAGATTTATAATGAGTTTTCTATTAAATAAATATTAAAAAATATGCCGAGATATCTGTAGAGTAATGTATATTCGTTTTTTTAAAAAATAATAAGCAATTAAAAAATTTTTTGTTATAAAAATTTATAACTGCGCCGATTTACGCCGATTTTCTTGACGGCGGCTAAAAATCGGAGCGCCGCCGGCCGTCGATAGGAATTTTTGAAAATTGCGCCGGCCACCGTTAGTTTGTGGGCGCACAGGTACATATACTCTAAAACTTATAAAAATTAATTGATATTTTATTTCGTATATCTTCATATTTCAACTCGTATGGTAGTTTAAAGAAACCACATCATTGGCATGATCACATCATTCGAGAATAAACTTTATAGAAGTACTAAATATCTAGGCTTGCCAATGTGTAATAAATGTTTAGTAATTACTAATTCATCAATCAGTTTTCCAAATCAATAAACAGAACCAGTTATAAACAATATAAATTCTCTAACGGCACAACTTAACCTGAGACTTGATATCAGATTTTAAATCGCGATTAAAAATTACACATTGAAATACATTAAGGTTTCTTATCCATTTTCCGGATATTTAAAATATTTTTAAACCTTATGATTAAGGGTTCTTATATATGCAATTTCTTTTTAAGGTTTATTTAATAGATATAGAAAATAGTTAATATCTTATTATATTTTTGATCGGGTACTTTAAAAATTCAATATGAATCTCAATATCATATTAAAATGAGGCCCTAATGAAGTTTGCCAAACATTTGAAAGCGTTAAATATTTTGATCTATTTGGTGGGCACTAGCGTAGCCAGTATGAATAAAAAAAAGTTATTAGCAAAATAAGAAAATATTAATATCAAGAATTATAGCACAATATTTATGTGTAAATAGTATTTTTAAAATATTACAAAATGTAGATTATATATAATTAGTAAAATAAATTATATGTTGGGAGGGAGGAGGTCAAATAAGATAAAACGAAAAGTGTAGAAACCCTAAGAAATTATAAGAAAAAAATTAAATAAACAAAATATATAAAATTTTTATCATTATTATAAAAAAATATATATTATATAATATTTAAAAATATGAGACTCGATATTTCCAGCTATAGCTTTGGTTTTATGATTTTAAGAGTTAGCGTAAAAGAGAAGTCAAATAGACTTATTGGCATCTTTGGAAAATATGATATATAAATATGATATATAAATATGATAGATTAGTTATGGTGAAATTGAAAAAGATTACAGTAGATGACTTTTTTAAACGTTATGGTTAAGCAATTATTTAATAGGGCAATAGTAATAATAAGTGCGCTTATTTGGAAATAGAAAAGGTCAAACATCAATCCAGGGACGTCAAGTCTTTACAATCTCAGAGGACAAAATTTTTCAATTATTATTTTTAAATTATTTTCGAAACTACCTTTTTTTTAGCTAACATTACCGAAATTCCCTTCTTTTATTTTTTACAAATTAACTTTTTTTTTAAGCTAACATTATCAAAATTACATTTGGTATAAAAAAAAAATTTAATTTTGAGGAGGCTCGGGCCCCATCGCCCCTCCCTTAGTGACTCTTATGTCCTATGCTAATTATAGCGTCTTTGGAAAACCACCCGTTTTTTAAATTTTGATAATTTATAAAAAAAAAGTTTAAATTAAACTAAAAAGTTAAATAGCTCATATTATTGTTTATCATCGATTTGTAAGATTTTATCAAGTACTTGTAAATAGAAGAAAAAAAATGATATTATTTTATAGAAATAAAAAATGAGAGGAGATTTTAGCAATTTAAAAGAAATAAAAACAAATTTTTTTATTATAGATATTAACATAAAAGTATTATAAAAAAATAAAATCTTACCTAATCATATTTTTCATGCGGATAGGGGGAGCAGTTCAGCCACAAATATCCTCTTGCTGACGCCACTGCTTAAGTATAATAAAAATAATAATATTAGATTTTTAACCTCCACCTCCTTCGGCTGTCCATCGTTCAAAAATGGTTGGTTCCTTGTTTAAGAATTGTTATCCCCATATTAACAATACAACCTATATAGTATTATTAATATTGTTATCAATTAACTTTACATTTTTTTAAAGAAAAAATGTGTCGTTAGTTAAATTAACTAGGTAACCAGTTCCATTATCCCCAATTATATTAATTTTTGGAATGATAAGAGAAAAGTAAACTAATTATTTTTTTAGAATATGTATGATAATAATTTTTCATTTACTTAAGTCACATGTAGAAAGGTTTTTTGTATTTTACCAAATTTTTTAAACTACATTTAGAAGGATAGCAGAAAGTTTTATTCGGAAAATAATGTCTATAATTTTCTGCAATGTATAGATTTGGTCGATGATCATCAATATTGTATTATAATAGGTCTATTTTAAATTATTAATTTTTATGGCAATGTATTTTGTACTATTTCATCTCAAGATATAAATAAACCACCCAAAAATTTATCCAGCCCCCATTAGAGGCGATCCCCCTTAAGAAATGTTGGATACAAAATATTCCTAACCCCCCCCCCTTCGCTCATGTAGACGCTGTCTCAGAGTAGAGGCCTACTTTAAATAAAGCTTTTAAAGATATTTATAATTTGGATATTTTTAAACCAAAGATAATCTGCCTATGTTTTCTTATGGGAATCCATAATTTTAATATTATTTTTTTAAATCGAAATTAAATAATGTTTCTTGTGAAGTTATATTTTTGACCTTTAGTATTGATTTTCATAAAACATATGTAAATAAGCAAAAAATCTAATAAACATGGGACAGCTATTTAGAAGTGAAGAAATGACTCTTTGTCAATTCTTTTTACAAGCAGAGTCTGCTTATTCTTGTGTAGCTGAATTAGGGGAACTAGGTCTTGTACAATTTAGGGATGTATGTAATATAAATTGATATCCATTCTCATATTTCTCTAGCTGAACCCTGAAGTCAATGCTTTTCAAAGAAAATTTACAAATGAAGTTCGAAGATGTGATGAGATGGAAAGGAAATTAAGATTTTTGCAGAAGGAAATTCAAAAGGATGGGATCCCCATGTTAGATACAGGAGATAATCCACCAGCTCCACTTCCAAGAGAAATGATTGATTTAGAAGTTTTAATACCATTAGGAATATTACTATATGCATGTTTATTAGGCTACTTTTGAAAAATTGGAAGCAGAAATGAAAGAAGTTAATACAAATGCAGAAGCTTTAAAGAAAAATTATTTAGAATTGACCGAACTAAAACAAATATTAAGAAAAACACATGCTTTTTTTGATGAGGTTAATTTTATAAATTATATAAATGTTTATTAAATTAACCAGCTTACCAAATATATTAATTATGATAATCATTATACAACTTATTAACTGGCTTTCTTTTTTCTTTAATCTTATAATGTGGTGATTTCTCATGCTATACTAACATTGCTACTTAATTATATAACCAAATGACTATTTTCTATATAACTATATTTCAAAGACCTATTTAACTTAATTTAAAAGATATATATATATAGTAATATACACTCAATGTACCATATTTATTTAGAAGTTAGCTTTATTAGATGTAAATTATTGTGAAATCAGTTATATTCATTATTTTGAGTTTTCTTTTTCTGGGTTTTGGGTTTGTTGAATAATAAAATGTAACTATGAACTTCTATAATTAATTGTCAATTCAGCCTATTGATAGCAAGAACAACTCTCTAAGAAATCTACCAATCTTTTGATCATAGATGCAAAAAATACACCCAGACTAAAGAAACATTTCATTAAAAAACTATTATATATTGTTGGAAGCATTATTCAAATATAGATGAAAAAAATAAGAAAGTATTTGGATTGAACGATTTATTGAAAAATCTATTCAAAACAAAAAAAGCAGGCAATAAACATTGATGTAATTTTTTCAAAATTTTATTCATTACTTGAATGAATGAATGTTTTCTAAAAACCTTTATTTCAAATTGAATTCTATTAATTAAATAATGAATCTTAGATGCATCCTCGAAACAATTTCTGAACCCTACCTCTTTGTTGGAGGAATTTCAAATTATGATAAATATGTTTTAAAGTATCCAACTACTCAATGGATTTTTTTTTATATTCTGTGGTAAAATGAATCTTATTATGCACTGTCAAAATAACCTTACTCATTTATTTGATATAACCTCTCTTCCTATTATCAAGATATCACTCTTATCAATATTTAATTAACATTGGAAACCACCTTTTTATTAACCCTTTCTCCCTTCCCCGTTTTTCTTTATTTCCTCTCTTTTTGTCTCCTCATTCCTTCCCTCCCTCCTCCTCTCAGATTAGGCGCCAATCTACACCTCCTTCTTCACCCTATCCTCATAAAACATATAATCGTCTCTCTAAATTTACCGCCAAAATTCACTCTCCCCCCTCTTCCACTTTTCCGCTTCCGCCCTTGTTTCCCTCTCAAACTCAACTTATTACGGAACGGACGCGGCTTTTATCTTCCTATCCTTCATCTTCCAATTCGAATGACGGTGATGATTCAAATCCTCTCGCGGTTTCCTTTCAGATGCATGACACTCCCCGTGGAATAACGGCCAGACGTACTTCAATGAGCGGCACTGCAATAGACGACCCTCATAGCTACTTGATTCCACCACGCCCTCCGCCCCCAACTTCACCCCAGGGGGATCTTATAAGCATTGGAGGGGACAGCTCCAGCGACTCCAACATTCGGGCCCCTATTGCGGCCAATGCGGGAAATCTCAGCATGCCAGGTGGTTCGGCTAGGAAATTGGGGTTAGGAACAGGCTTTTCCTTAACTTTCATAATTTGAATTACAAATAATTGCCTACGAAATTCAGTTGCCTGAATTTTTTTTATATGTGAATGAATGTTAACCTTACAAAAGACTGGAGGCAGGGCAAAGAGTTTGATTTCATTTGATTTTCGTTTATTGAAAGTTAAAATGTCGAATTATTTTATTTATAAAGAGGCGTCAAGTTTTTTGAAAAAGATAATTCTAGTATAACAATTTTTCATTATTTAGGAAGGTACGTTCAACATAATGATATTGGTTTCCTGAGTCGTTGTTTAGAGATCAACTTTTATTAAATCATTATTTTTAATATATATTATTTTCACCATCATATTTGGCCCTTTTAAACATTAGCTAAGAGGTCAGTTTTAGGAGGAAAAAAACTGATCAAATCAGGGATCGAATTTAACTAATATTCTGCTGCGCTTCAGTACATCATCCAAGAGTTATAACCTCTGAGTCATAGCTACCATTAAAAATAGATGCTTTTATGTATATAATGACAATTTTCAAAACTTCAAATTCGAAAATATTATTTTGGTCAGACTACCACTATCATTTACTGTACAACAATCACTATCATTATTTATTTTACATTTTTTTCTCTTCCTAAACTTTATTATCTCGTAATTATTATAATTCAAGCGAAATAAAATATTTAAATTTATAAAAATTAAAGCGCATTAATAGTACATTCGAAATTTATTTTGCCTTATTATTATTTTTTCTTCTTTATCAAATTTCACCTTTGTATACCTAGCAATTTATATTCGCGATCTATATAAAATATTATAACATAGTATAACAGTGTAACACCAAAACGCAAATAACAAACCATATACAGTGAAACCTTGATATCACCTTCCCGTTTTACCTTTTCCCGCTTCTACCGTTTACAATTATTGGCACTAAAAATTTTCTTAGAAAAATTAAAATATTTCATGTTTTATCATTTAACGTTTAAAATTTATGATTCCTAGAGGAATATCAAATCCGGGTTTTACTGTACATTATTTATTTAATATATTAACTCACCTCACCCAAAAACAATTATTAACATTTTATTTATTTTTTTTAGAGATAAATAATAGAATCTAAGAATTAAGAAAAAAAATTTTGCTAACAAATTTCACTAACAAAATTATATTATATGGTATTTATATAATTACTGGCAAATAGCCCGTCAAAGTCTGACGGGTTAATCGGAAATTTGCCTTATATGAGAATCAGAAATGTATAACTATATTTTGTAGAGGTTCCTAAAAAATATTTTTTTGAAAATATGCTGTCTAAATATATATTTATGCGGGGTTAGCAATTAGGTCACCGATAAATTGATCGGAGTATTTGACCTGGTCAAATGAGGTCAAATACTCTAAAAAAAAATCTGAAGACATAAATTAAAAATATGTTTGAAAAATTGAAAGACGACATAGATACATGTGATCACGATGCTGCTTATTTATATACAATATCAAAAGGAGCATCTTGCTAGTAGTGTATTTAATGAAGTATGGGGGTACATTCCAGGAATTAGGCATTTTACCAGGTGGTGATGATCAAAATATTTTAAGATATATCACAAATTTCAGAAGTGAAAGCGGTATGTTTTAGCAAATTATTTGGAAAGAAGTAACATAAGAAACAATATGGCCTCAAGTTAATGGAATGGGTTTGATCACCATGCCTATTAATATAAGTGGCATTTTATCAAAAATTCCTAGTTCTACTTTTTCTTCGGAAAGAAATTGGTCTATTTGGGTTAATATTCTTACTCGATCTCGACATCAGGAAAATTGATAAAATTGAATATGAAATCAGAAAAGACTTTGTCACGGAAAGCGAAACATTAATTATTGTATGAATGAATTTAAAAAATATTATAAAATTAATATTATAGATACATTTTACTATTATATACAAAATAATTGCTAATATTTTCTTAAAAATTATTTGAATTTGACCATATTTGACCGGTTAAATATCGATCAACCTGTAATTTCAACTATGCATAAATTTGGAAAATATTTGCAAGTCATATTATTTTTAAGGTGTCTATTTCAAAAAGTATTTTAAAAAGGTTCCTCAAATATTTTTAAACACATTAAATCACTAATACAAATGTTTAAATATAAATGTAATATAAAAAGATTCTTTTTTTATTAGGCATGTTTAGATAATTTTTTGAAATTTTATGAAAATCAACATTTTAAAGATAATATAATATAAAAATATTATGTTACAAATAATGTGCGCATGATTTTATTTATATTTTTGCTATGACTTTTAAGAATAACATAATCCCAAAGAATACTCGAGTAAAAAAAAAAAATTTGAAATACTCAATTTATTAAAATTTTAAACCAATTAAAATATTTTTATTTAAAAACAATCAAAAAGGATGTTGCCAAAAAATACATACAAATAGCAGTTTGTGTATCAAGAGAGGGGGTTGTGCCAGAACGCAGGTTTGAACCCTGCAGATGGTCAAAGAAATTTAAATTGTAAACCGCCTTAGATCGGAATTGGTCTGTCCGGATTTTTTTTTTAAAAAACATAACATTAACATTAGTTTATTTGGCCAAATTATAATTCATTAATTTTATATGAAAATTGAGATTTAATGGTATTCGATTAATTGGAGTTCAGGATTAGGCGGCAATGTCCAAAATATAAAAAAATTCGATTCGTAAACTTTTTTAAACTTTATCGAAAAAATAAGCTTCATTTTTTATAATAAAAATAAAAGCATGTCCAAAATATAATTCATGAAAATTTCAAAAATTTAACATTTCACTTTCATTAAAAATTTATAAACTTCTGAAAGTTTTAACACTTTTCTAAATTTTTAAAAAAGGATTTTGGACATAGCTAAGTTGAAATTATTAACATAAAGTTGATATGAAAATGAAATTTAAATATGAAGATAATACGAAAATGATATATAGATTACGGGGATTAATATGTACTATTTATCAGACAATTTTTCAAATATATTTCCGGTGAAACCAGATTTTTATGATCTCAAGAATCCCCGTGAATTCAAAATCCCAAAAAGGGCACGTTGATTTATTTGCCAAATTTTATTAATGGGCATCCTAACTTATTCCCATTTCAAACAGAAGCTAAATTCTATTACAGGACGGCCTAAATCGTTTTATAAACTTTTGGCGTTTTTAAAATGACTTTTGGACTCTCTATTTTTGAAAGGGTAATGCGAAATTCGGGTAATTAGAATCGCCATTATAAATCAAATAATATCGAATTTATGATGGATGTTTTAGTTAAAATTCTTCATTTTATTAATGTTTAACGTTTAAATATATATATATATAGATATTTTCTTTCTCTTTCTTTATAATTTAGTAAATTTTTTTTATAAATCTATGCGCATAGTGTTGTTAAAACGGCTCGATTTGAGCTGATTTTTAAAAATGGCTGACTCAATATTTTAGCCAGAAAAATATTGCCCAAGCCTCGAGATTTCGCTAGTAGATGTCCGAACCTTTGTACCATTTTAGCAAAATCTTTAGGCTTGCGTAATATTTTTCTGATTAAAAATTGAGCTAACCATTTTTAAAAATCGCCTCAAATTTAGCCGTTTAACAACGATAAGACGACATCTATTGTATAGGTTATTTTTGTTTTAATGAAATTTATAATTTTAAAAAACGTATTTATCAAAATTAGTTATGTAAAAAGCCATTTTGCATCAATAGTCCAAGAATTATTTTGTAATTATAGCATTATATCAAATAACCTCATCATCTAGTTCATTATTTATATTATAATTTGTAAGATAATCTAATTATTTTTATTTTACCTTATTTATTACATATTGATAAATTTAAAACAAGCATAATTATATTTTTAAATCAATCATTTGTATATTAATTTTTTCGCCGCCTAATATATATGTTTTTTTTAAAAAAAGCTTTAAATTTTTGCTTGAGATAATATGTCCAAGGGAAGAGATTATCTTGCGATATCAACCGGATTTGACTTATTCCTTCTTTTGGAAAAGGAAGAAATGCGCATGTGAAATCATGAAGTGAGGATTTACTTAATGACTAAGGTAATGTAGTGAAATCATCTGACCTCATCCCATCATCTGATGATAAATTATCGGGCTCTTGGATGTTTGATATACATACCCACTTAAAACTACTTACTAATTATTGGTTTTTTTAAATCTAGTTAAATTAAGTGCCCTTTTATTTATTAAAATTTAATCGAGTACTTCTTTAAAATTGCCAAGGAGTCTCAATTTCCCCGCAAAAATGTTAATCAATCACATACTCTCCTCCAGGATATTAATTTATCTTTCTTTGACGTGCCTATATTCGTAATTAATAATACAAAATAAAACAATTGATTTATATATATATATATACTTAATGTACTAATTTATAACATTGTATTACTTAATATTAAATCATGCGCAACGCTATTTTACTCACGATAAATAGAATATTAAAACGGCATTGGCTGAATCATTAGCGTCGATTATCATATATATTTTGGTGTTGTTTAGGATTAGATTTATGATAATAATAATACCCAATGGGCGTTTAATCAGGCGAGTATATATATTTTTTGAGGCCAAACCTAGCACTCCTAAAGCATACATGATTTTAATTTTTTCTCTCTCACAAAATTTGACTTATTTTTAAATAAGCCTATAAATCTTGCATCGGAGCCTATACCCACGCCAGTAAATACTAGATCCACCTCTAGATTGACTCTCGGCCAATTAGATAAATCGGACTCGCTGACCGATCAGGACCCGGATGCAGCGGCCATCATGTCAGCCCAGCGCAAGGCGATGAGAAGGATGACGGCTTCGCAGGCGTTGAGCTTGCAACGCGCTCGCATGGATTCGAGGAAATCAGATCTCTTAGTACCTGGTCGGTTTGTCGCCGGTGATTTAGGGTTTTCCCGGCTTTCATATAAAAATAATACCCTTAAATCAATTTTAAGCTTACTAATTACTATTTCCCTTTTTTATAATTCATTTATTATATATTTATGCAAATCTATATACTAAATATAATGCTATTTAATATTATTTTTTTTCTCTCTTTTTTTTTTATTGCCCTGCCATTATATTTTACTTGTAATATTTTTTAAGAAATATATTTTATTTACCTTGTATTCACTTTTCATAAAACGCTTATTATTTATAAATAATTATATGCAACTTTCATTATTTCAACTAACAAGAACATGCTTTAATTTAATACCTTTTTTTTGTTCATATTTATTTATATCAAATTTTGCCCTTTGGGAGATCTATTTTAGACGTGAACGAAATTAAGGAATGAATTTTTAAATAATGATGATTAAGTAGACACTTGTAGGCCCGGTTTAACCCGACCGAACATGCCCGACCCTAAAATAGATTGATTAAACTTGGCCATCAAATAAGTAAAAATAAAATCAGTAATTAAGTTGAAACATAATTGTTACGAAATACGGTGTTATTCGCCTCGCTATCTATAGAGGTACAGTTATTTATTTCCTCCTCCGCAAATTATTGATAGCATTTTACGTGATTCTGACATGGAAATGAATGAATGTTGCGTCTGGAAATTTACAATTTGTCGGAAGATGAATCTATTTATGTATTTAAGTTGGATTCATAGTGGAATTCGATCCGGGAAGATTTAACAGCCGATTTTAAAAATCTGTTTATGAGATCAATTTTAATTCTATTCATGAGAATAATCTAAGAATTATTGATTTTAATCGAAATATCGATCTCATTAATAGATTTTTTAAATCGCTCAGCTGTTAAATCGTGTCGGAATCAGATCCCACTATGAATGCACCTTTACTGTTTATAAATGAATACTATGTGAATCGAGTGAATGTTAACACACAGGACAGCATGATTGTGAGTTGAGAACGTAATATACTTTCTTTCTTTCATACATAAATTCTTTTCTTCTCTTTTTATTTGCTTTCTTTTATTCTTTTCTACCCTTTTTTCCAAATTTTTTTAAAACTATTATTTCTCCTCTCGTTTCTTTTATCTCTTTTTCTTTCTTTTTTTTTAATGCAAACTTCTTTAATTTCTCTTTGTAATAAAATAAAATTACGTATATCCAAAAAAAAAGGTTTGTGGCCGGCGTGGTATTGAGGGAAAGATTTCCTTCTTTCGAAAAGCTTTTATGGAGAGCCTGTAGGGGCAACGTATTTTTAAGACGTTCGGACATTGATAACCCGTTGGAAGATCCAGTGACTGTAAATAATTTATACACTATTTTTGACAGAAAGTGTTCTATCCCTACTAATGAACCTAATTTAGTTAAGTAAAGGTTAGAAATTCGCATTTTTAGCTAAATTTAATCTATTTCAATTCTTTAAAAAACAACCTTAAAAAGTCTTTATAAAAAACATGTTTTTTAAAAAAACTTATATAGGTTTTTTTAGGTATCTGAATTTTTTTTAATATTTGGTTAACTTTTCTTTTTTTAGGGGACTATTAAAACTTATAGAATACATAATTCCCTCAACAATTTTAGAATGTAATTTAAGGTCGAAAACGCGAAATGTTAAAAGCCTATGCGAATATTTCTTTATTAATTCTCAAAATCTCGAAAATAACGTTGATTTTTGCAGAAACCCTAGATAGAACCCTATAGTATTTAAACAGCCCCTATTTCTAATCTTAAAAACTGATGATTCTTGATAGATGTAACCATTACTAATTCAGTTTAATATATTTTATAGATATTATAATATTTCGATTTATTTTAAGGGTGACAAAGTTTTCAAGGTGGTTTTCATGATATTCTTTCAAGGCGACCAACTCAGATCCCGCGTTAAAAAAATTTGCGAAGCGTAAAATAATTTTATCTAATATTTTAAAAGATCTCGTAAAAATTTAAAATTTAAGAGTTGAAAAGAGAAAGAAATTGGATTAAAATGTTATTTGAAATTGAGTATTTATTTTTTTTTTGATTATATTTATATATTTATTTTTTACTTTAATTAGTTTTCGCGCAACATTGTACCCCTGTCCAGAGACTGCCGCTGAGAGGAGAGAAATGGAAATGGGAGTCATGACAAGAATAGAAGATTTAAGCACCGTAATTACATGCATTTGTTTCATTCACATTTTTTTTTCGGAACTAGATACTGTATTATTTAAATATTTTACTCGTTATTGCTTAAAGACTCGAGTTCCTATTTGATATATGCCTAAAAATCTACTGTTTTGCTATTAATCAATGAGGGATTAACTTCTGACTGACTTTATATAACTCATTATTATACCTGCTGCTCATTTTTCTATTCTTAGAGGAAGAGAGTGGGGGTGATATTTTTAAAAGATACAGATTTAATCCTTGAATTCTTTGGAAAATAGATTATTCATTTAAAAACATTAGTTTGTAAAATTAGATATGGCCATTTTTTTTGGTTGCTAGTAGTGAAAAATTAACAAGCAAATTTACTCCTATGTTTTTTACTTACCAATCTTTGTCATCTGATAATAAAAACGTCTTTATAAATAATTATCTAGTCAGATTAGAAATGGTTAAGTTTTTTAATAAATAGTGAAAAAATAAAATTTTCTCATATTTTTTTTACTTACCCATCAGTGTCATGTGATAATAAAAACTTCTGTATGATATTTGTGCCAAAAATCAAAACTCTCGTCTCTTACTAAATGGGTCTTATGGACCCTAATGTTAATGTTATATTATCCCGATTTCTCCTGTAATAAATTTTTTTCTTCTCAATCTTATGAAATTAATTTCAATGAAATGAAATGAAAAAAAATATCACGGAAACAAAAACTAAGAAAAATCATCAGGCAAACTACTGGGATGAGAGGACTGACTTCTTTTGGACAGATGCTATATCAGCATGTCAATCACTAAAAACTCATATTTACTTTTAGCACTTCTATCCAACCTGTTAATAATAGACTAATTTTAATTTTTCGACTTTCTGCCATAAATTTTACTAAATGGGAATATCAATTATTGTTTTTTTTTATTGAGTTATTTTGATTTTCAAGAAAAGTTATAATTATTTTTTATTGGTAATAGGTTTTAAGCCAGACCCAGGAGCATAGACATAGAGTAATGGTTGCTGCCGCTAAAAACGCCAAATTTTGGTTCATTAAGGTATATTATATAAGAATGAATGTTTTGAAAAATTTTTTAATAATTTATAAGTCATAAAATGAAAGTTATGTTAGTTCAAAATATTGAAGGAAAAAAAGAAAGAATAAAAAATTACCTTTACATGCAAGGTTCGCAAGATCAAAGCGGTATACTACGCGCTAAATATGTGCAGTTTGGACGTGACCCACAAGTGCCTCATAGCCGAAGGATGGTGTCCGGTGGCAGATTTTGACAAGATAAGAATGGCGCTCAAAAGAGGAGAGGTTGAATTATTTAGTTTTATTTTAAAAAAATATAATTTTAAATCTATCCTGAGTTTCAATTAATAATTAGGCCGGTGTATAGTAAGCAAGAACTGTCAAATGTTAAATTTTGTTTCCTTTATTTCAGTCGAAAATGAATGAACAAATAAGGGAAAATTTTTTTAATCTCGTAAAAAAATATCATTTCACTACAACGAGCCTCATTTTTAAATTTATTTGTACCGATTGGCCCAATTATAAATGTTTATATCTTCGGGATTATTTGAACCAGATTGGCAGCTAATTTTTTACGCATAAAAATTGCATTAGTATAGGTAAGCATTGGAATAGGCCGGTACAAAATAGCAATCGGACAGGCTAAAAATTTGTCACCAATACTGACTTCCCCTTAAAATATCTTTTGTTTGATAACTTACCAAGATGGTTTATACGTTAAAAATTAACTTTCAATAATCTAGCGTCAATTTCTAGATATCAGTGATATTAAAATCTACTTTTAAAAGTAGTGCGCTATCGCTACCGCCACCATTTTCAAAAAAGTAGCGCTCTATTAGCTACTTTGCTGCTTTAGAAATTTTTTTTTAAATGTTTTTTAGGTTATCTCTGCTTCCACATATAAAATATATGACTAAAATTTCAAATTATAATTTATTTATTTTTTATTGCATCAATAATAATAACATTTTTATACTGTCATCCCCAAGTCTAGAGCAACGATCAGAAAGTATGAGCTATGACTAAATAATCGTTCAACACTAATTATTTCAAAAAAATCATCTATAAGTAGGTGGCATTTTTGATCTGTCTAGACTAAAATTATAATAAAAATAGTTAGAATAAAAATTATGTAGGGATGAAATGAATGGCCATCTTTGTAAATTGGCCAGGTCACCACCCTTTAATATTTTATATATCGAACCAATTTCTCTCAAAATTGGTTAAAATGTAATTGATAAAATTTATAAATAGATGAGTGGTTAATTTTAAGCATGTTTAACATCCAGATAATAATTTATAAAATATTATCATTAAATAGATGATAAAATTAAATGTTAATATTAATTATTTATTGAAATTTTTAATTTATAATATAATTCTTGAATCATATTTATGGCCAGTTGAAACATATCATGTTTGGACTGGGCTAGAAAATCAACTTTCACATATACTCAGCTAGCTCAATCTAAACTATTATAGATACAGCTTTGATTCAAATTTTATTTTAATGATTAAGGATTAGGCTACACATTCTAAATCGCTAAGCATTTGGAATCTCGCTTATAACTCTTAGAAAATTTTAAAAGTAATATTGAAAATAATATTAATTAGATGCTAAGGAGAACGTATTTAAATTGAGTTTTTAAACATCGCTAATAATGAAGGAAATATATCATTGTTCCCAGAATTGTCCCTAGCATCTATTAATATTTATTTCAAATTTACTTTAAAAATTTTTCTAGGGAATATAAGCGAGACGCCCATATCTTTTGGTTTTGTAATATCCTCTTCGCTTAGTTCCACATTTAAATTTATGATAAAATTTATAACTCGTGATAAATTAACTTACAGGAGAATTCTGGGAGCTCGGTGCCTTGCATAATGAACAAAATGGAGGTTCCGTCTAACGTATCACCGCCTACTTACAACAAGCTAAACAAATACACCTCCGGCTTTCAAAATATCGTTGACGCTTACGGGGCCGCTAAATATAGGGAGGTTAACCCAAGTAAAAAAAAATGTTACTTCTGCAGAACCATTTTTTTTACATATTAGAAAGCAAGAAAGAAGAAAGAGAAAGATAAAGGAATTGCACATTGAATTAAAATTTGAATGATTTGAATATTAGAAGGAAGATTACAAAAAAAAGAGAAATCTTGAAATTGTGTAGAATTGGGTAAAATGAAGAACTCATGACTAATATATAAACCGTTTTTTCGGGGAAATGCCCTATTTTTTCTCTCTTTCTAAATTTTATTCTTTATGAGAAATAAAATCTACCGGTATATTATTGGATAATTTTTTATCGTCGCAACTAGTGTTGTTAACCGGCTTAATCAAAGAAAAATATTGCCTTTGGCCTCGAGATTTTGGTAAAAAGATGTTCAAAATGCCATCCATCTATGAGTAAAATCTTTAGGCTTGCATAATATTTTTCTGTAAAATATTGAGCTGTATTTAAAAATCGGCTTAAATCGAGCCGTTTAATAACACTAATCGATCACTAGAAAAAGAAATCTGATACAATGTATTTTATTCATTTCCAAAATTTAAATCCTTATCCAGATAAAAAAAAATGGAATATTTTATTATGTCATAGGTAAATTTTTTATAAAATATATATTTTAATACACTGATATACCTTTAATATGAATATTATTTGGAATCATTTAATATAACAATTAAGCAGACGATAAAAAATATTTTTAATAATACTTAAAAATTCATTTTAAAAAAAAACGCTATTTTGCAACGCTCTATTTCTGGTTTACTATCCCTTTAACGGTGTGTTCTTAAATGCGTATCTAACATATCCATCTGCCTGCATAATTTTAAATTTTAGCAGGTTTTTATTTTATCGTTATGTTGTAGTTATATATTATTGGGAGTTATAATTTGAATTTATTTTAAATTAAAAAGCACCTTACACCATGATAACTTTCCCTTTCCTATTCGCTGTAATGTTTGGGGACGCCGGCCATGGCTTGATAATGGCGATGGTGGGAGCTTACATGATCATCAAAGAACGATCCCTGGCCCGGATGGCTAGGAATGAAGTAAATATCATTCCGACATTTTAATTGTCATCCATATTTTACTCTTTTTTTAAAATAGACATTCGGCATTTTTTATGGCGGTCGTTACATAGTGTTTGGTATGGGTTTGTTCGCAATATACACTGGTTTGCTTTACAACGACGTTTTTTCGAAATCTATCAACATTTTTGGGTCAGCTTGGAAGGCAAGGATGCCTCAATATGCCATTGGTATGCCTTTCTTTTTAAATCGGCTCTTTAATATTAAGATTCTTTTTTTCCATTCATTTATTCCTTTCTTTTTTTAAAAAAAAGTTACTTCCAAAATGTTGAAAATCACAAATTCGATATCTATTAACTCTTTTATGTCAATTTTTAAGATTATCCTAAATCATTCATCGTTATATGATCAATGATTACCTATGCTATGGGTTTCATTATTAGTTCATTCTGACTTTATATTAACATTGCACCAATTTTTTTAGGTCCTAACCCTTCACCAGGCAGCCCATCAAACAGAACTTACTTATCTGACGTTACCATCATTGGCTTAGACCCTAGATATCCAGCCGTTTATAGGGGATCACCTTACCCCTATGGTATTGACCCCATATGGCAATTGGCCAAAAACAAAATCACATTTACCAACTCTTACAAGATGAAGATAAGTATTATCCTGGGAGTCATCCATATGAGCCTGGGCATATGTCTTTCGCTCTTCAATCATACGTTAGTATAATTAAATTTTTATGAATACCATTTTTCTATTGATGAAAATCACTTGGTTCGAGTTTACCCTTATAGATGGATTTTTTCGATCACCTAATAAGACAAATATACTATATTGATTTTTTTTATAAAGATACTACCGCAACCGCTCAAACATTATTACCGAGTTTATCCCACAATTCCTGTTTCTCTTTTGCCTATTCGGCTATCTTTGCATCGTGATAGTTGTCAAATGGATCAAATTTAACGCCACCAACTCCAGGTGTGCCCCGAGCTTGTTGATCAACCTCATCAACATGTTTTTGTTGAGTTATCCTCCTCCAGCCCCCGGGGAAATTTGCAGTCCTTATCTTTTCAAAGGCCAAGTACTTTTATCCATATTTTTATTTAATAATGGATAAGATAAAAAAAATCGCCGGGGTGGCCTAGTGGGTTTATGATGTATACTTGGAAGCCGAAGGTTCCAGGTTCAATCCTGATAAGGAACTGTAAAAATTTACAGATTTTTCTTCGATGACTGATGTGTAAAGATATATGATATGATAAGTTTCTCAGCTTAGAAATTTCACCCCGGCCCCCGACAGTCTTGGACAGCCGAGTGCTAGGATACTTGTCCAATAAACCAAATGAAAGATACAATGGATAAGATAAAAAATTGTATATTTTTTTCGTTTAAATTGGAGAATATCATTTTTTTTCGTTCTTTCGATTGTATATAAATTCTTTGTTAAGCAATTATCTAAACGAAATCATAAGACATTTAAAAGTAATTCAATAATTGTAATCTTTTGGTTTATTTTAAAAAAAAATGATTCATTAAAAATAAAATGTTTATGTAATTTTACGCGACTAAGAAAACCCTACAATACGTTCTAGTTATAGTGGCAGTGTTGTGTATACCTTGGATGCTACTGCCTAAACCGTTGCTCTTGAGACGTAAAAATAAGAATTTCATGCAGGTTAGCTTTCTCGATTTCTTCTATTCTATTACCTAAATGAAACTTTTTATTTTCATCAAATCGAGTAAAAGTAAAATTTTAACTGGAAATGTGTTTTTTTTTTAAAAAACAAATTATTTATTTGTTTGATTTTCAAGTGTTTAGTTTTCATTTTACACGTTTGCATGGAATAAGCATGAATTCGAATATTTATTATACATAATCACACTAATTAGCTAACACAATCGCATGCTTTTAGCTTCCGACTAACCTTATCTTTTTTTTTGCTCTCCAATTTTCTTCACCACCTCCCCCATCCCCGCTTTGTATTATATTTCGCTATGTAATTTAATTTAGCGCCTCGTAATATTTTATTGTTAAGACTTGTCAAGCTGGTAAGCCGCATGTAGTACTAGTTTTCAGAGATTTACCAATGCCGAGGTCATTAACGTTACTAGGAGGCACTGACTGATAACTAACGAAATTTATTTTTGTAAACAAAAGAAAATTTATACTAAAAAACACGAGCCCAAATAAATGATTAATTTATCTAGCGGGGAAAATATTTTTATCTTAAAAAATAATAATAAAATTAATTTCTTTCTTTTTCAGTTTTTGGTTGTTTTAAATTTTCATATATATATATACGCTATATTTTTAAATCGTTTTTTTTATATGACCTTTGTTTTAAATTCGTTTTTTTAATAATAAACTCAATTTATCTCTTAAGAAAAAACTTATATATATGGGAATTTTTTTCATATAAAGATATTAAGTTCGTCTCTCGTAGGTTTATAGGCTTTTATGGTACAATTTAACTCCGAAGGGAGAAGAATGCACTAGTTGTTAGGTAAATTATCGCAGCCTAGATAAGCGTAATCAATTAAAAACGTAACATTTTGTTACGCGCTTTAAATTTAAACATTTTTTTTCGAAATTTAGATATCGCATTTTATAATTAATTAATCTGTCCAAACGCAATGCTTTCTATCCATTCTCTTTAATGGAGGTATTATTATTATTATTATATATATATATATACTTAATGTATATTAAAATCAATCGCGCTGTTTAAAAATACTCAAAAATTCCAATTTCTAACAATATTTTTTTTTAAGACAGCCACACAACTAACCTCGCCGCGTTAAAATAACGTATAGATGAAGCTTCTATGATTATATTTTAAAAATTTAATAGAAGAAATACGCTAAAAAAAAATTTTTTGCTAAAAATAATCAGAGGCAAACTAGGCTGATGGGTCAAGAAAATCCTGTGGTAGATGTTCATTACTCGACGAGTCCGGATGTACAACACAGTAGAAGACTAACTAGGGCTTCGCTTCCCATTAATGCCGAACCCATAACTGGGGTCTAAAACAACATTTATCTTTCTCACTTTGTCCCAAAAAATTTGGAATTTTTTTTTAAGATTTATTTCCCAGAAATCCGAGAAGAAAATAAGAATTTCCCTGTAAATTTTTTTGTAAAAAAAATCTATTAAATACCATGATATTTTATTTTTTCGCACAAACGCCCACCTTTCGCCACGCCTCGGCGCAGCTGTAAAGCTGCTACGTTTTCTTTACTGTTATGGAACCATTTGGATAAAGAGCATCATAAAACTATATGATGGTTCGATGTAGTATATTTATAAAATTACCGATATGGCAATAATTCCACAGTATATTTTACTTTTCGGGAATAAATATGCATGACCTAAATAAATTTGCATGGTTTTGTATTTTTTTTTATATTGTCATCACTTTTTATTTGCATGAATTTGATTAATTATGATTTAAATCATGAATATATTTTATTTACATACTATAATTATTTCTTCAATTTTTTTGTACTTGAGAGTAGGGCTGGAACACAAATTGAACACAAAACAAAATCTTCAATTTTTATGATTAATTTCAAAAGAAATCTCTTGATATTAGTATATATATATATATTATATTAACATTTTTTGAAAAAATATTTGATTAAAAGTAAGAAAATTTATGAAAATAAAAATAATTCAGCCCTACTTGAAATTTATCACACTTGAATGCGATACCTTATTCACTACCCATAAAAATAATCCTTCCATTTTTCCTTTCAATTATTTTTTTTTAGGATTAGGTAAAGGCTATAGTTTTGATTTTAGCATCCATAATTCATACGATTGTCAAATTCACTTAATAACCTTTTCTCCTATTCCTATTAAAAATTTCTCCTTCTGAAATCCGGTCCATAGCGCCGTTTTCCGAAATTCGTTTGTTTCTCATTTTTCATTCCACCCGCCTTTTATTTCTCTATTTTCCCCTCCTTTTCTTTCTCATTTTTTTCCCCTTCACTTGACCTATCTTTTTTTTAATATAAATTTGTCAAAAAATAATTATCACCCAATATATTTTTAGGACGGTTTACTGAGTCCAAACAATATTCAAGACCCAGCCGAGGGCTCGCTCGATTCTCGGAATGAACCTGGTGTCAGTCGCAAACCTTCTATCAAATCTGCGGATGAGGGTGAAGTGGTAATGTATTAATTCTAAACTTCTAGATTTTTCTTACTAAATAATAAGTAATCGTTTCAGAATGATGAGATGGGGGGAGGGGGGTATATTTAGGATTTTGTTTCGGGACGTGCAAAAGAAGAAATCACATAATTTAATAAAATTCCCATTTATCAGTTAAAATAAGAGTTTAAAAAATTTGCGGAAAAAATTTTGGAGGGTGCGAATGCCCATTAAATACACCACTGCAGGGAGGGGAGGGTATATTATTTAGTTAGATTTGAACTTCTGACCCAAAAATTTTTTACAATTTTATGTTATCATTTCAATGTATAAGGGATGAAAATTGTCATTTACATGACTATTTTAGCCAAAATATTTTTAAAATGATAACTAATTTCTAATTTGTAACTTTATAAATATCTTTTATCTTTATCAGCCAAAATTTTATTTAAATGGCCACTTATTAACACTTTAAAGAATGAATAATATGGTCTTGGCATATTATTCTTTGCCTATTTTCTTTTTTGTTTTAATTAAAAAAATAGGTAATAAACTATAATTCTCTAACCATTACATTATTTGTTTATATTTATACCAGAATTATTACCATTTATATTTAAAAGTTAAAAAAAGGTGCTACACTGAATAGGATACCATGTTATTCTTGTTGGGTAATCCATCCCCCCTCCCCATAATTTTAAATATCCACAATAATATAATAACAAATATTCCTAAAAATATATTATATTGTTAATGAACTTTCTTTTTATTTTAAAAAAATAATCTCATCTAGTTCAATTTTTCCGAGATAATGATAGAACAATGCATTCACACGATAGAATTTTCTCTGGGATGCCTGTCCCATACAGCCTCTTATTTGCGGCTATGGGCTTTAAGCTTGGCTCACGCACGTAATTTTTTTTTTAAATATAATTATTTATTAATTCGAAGTTGTTGTTTTTTAATATTTAATAATATACATTAGTTGGCAAAGTGTTATAACAAGAGCTGTATCCGATATCGGGTCAAACCCAGATCTTCCCCTTTGAGACTCAGCCGGTTTTTTTAATTGTCGGTTTCTGATCGATTTTTATAAATTTGCATATAATATATAGGCTGGCGCCTAAAAACTGAACCCCTTTCATTAAAGGAGACTTGGGTGTTTTTAGAGGGGTGTATGAAATTTTCAATGTATGAACAAGGTAATAAAATAGTTAATTTATAATCGCAAAAAAATATAATGGCGATAGCGATGTAAAAATTAGATAAAAGCAGTATAGCACAAAAAAACCACATCTAGATGAGTAGAATAATTGAACGCTGTCGAATATAAAACAATGTATTCATATATTTTTAAAAATTATTTGACCGAACGAATAGAATTATCGGAAGTTTTATGGCAAATGGTGTTCAGAGTAGGGTTCAGCTTCAATTCCAAAATAGGTAGCATAGTGTTATACGTTGTGTTCGCTTTTTGGGCGGTATTGACAGTCGCCATCTTGCTATTCATGGAGGGACTTTCGGCCTTCCTTCACGCACTTAGATTGCATTGGTAATATAAAACGATAAATAATTTAACATGAAATAATAAAGCTTCTCGTTATCTAAATAATTATCTTTACTCAAACTTTAAAAGTAACTTATAATATAGCGTTCTTAGTTATATAGTATTTAAAAAACTTATTATACTCTCTACTTTCTTTCAAGAGTACACTATGTAACCAATCATAATATTTTAATGGTTTTATATATATATATATACGCACACACAAAGGGTTGAGTTTCAAAGTAAATTTTACTCCGGGACCGGTTATCTTTTTGAGCCTTTCTCATTCCAATATATTCTTGACTCCGTAGCAATGATTGGTGGGTCCGAGGAATAATTTACGATTTTTGGAGCGCCTATATTTATTTTATTTTGTAAAAAGAATCAATTGAAAGAAATCATTGTATTAATATTTAAGTTTAATCGGCTATTATGTTCACTTGACCAATTTATATAATTTTTATACTAACTTTTATTAATTAATCATTATTGTGGTCTCTCAAAATTACAAATCAATATATTGTAACGCCTATTTTAATTTTTTTTTTCATTAATTATAAACGTCATAAGTCATTTATCTATTAATTATTTATAACATAGAATAAAAAATAAAAATTTGTAAAAATGTTTGTTATGATCAGAGTTGTTAAAGTAGCGCGCTATCTTTTTTGGTAGCTATAGCTAATAGCCGCTACTTTTTTTTTAATTATTTAATTTTTTAGCGCGCTACTTTTTTTTAAAGTACTAAGTAGCACGCTACTTCGCTACTTTTAAAAAATATAATGAATGTAAGTATAAACATGAAAATTTAAATATAATATCATATCATAATTAATTATTATTATTTAATTTTGAAATTTAAATATATTTTCAATTTTTAATTTATATTTTCAATCTGTGTTAATAATCTAAAATGGCATCGCCCATGGATATCCAAATCCTTGACAGTGATTCAGACATGGAAGATTCAATGGAAGAAAATGTACTTAATAACTCTAATAACGATTTCCCATTCCCTAGATTTGAAAAAATTTTTTAAAATAAATATTAAAACAAAATCTGGATTCAAATTCCTGTGCTTAAAATGTAAAAAAAATATATCATCAAATCAATTGAGTAGCTATAACCTGAAGAAACACCTAAAGGTAAATTGTTATTTTTACATTATAATATTATTTATTTTATTAGACTGTTCACGCCAATTGCTATAAGGAAATAGAGGAACATATAAAAAAAATTGGTATAGGAGAATCTTCATTCAAAAAGACAAATACTATCCAAACCAAATTAACTGATAATAAACATGCCAATATTTCACAAAAATTGGCTGATAAAGTATTTGTTGATTTTATTATTGACACAGTTCAGCCATTGTCCTTGGTTGATAATCCATCATTTACTATGATGATTAAAACTTTATCCCCTGGCACAACAGTTTTATGTCGCCAGATACTTATAAATAAAATAGCCGACAACTTCAAAGTGATGAAAGATGCTCTAATAGTAGAGTTATCAGATATATCTTATGTATGTACCACGGCAGATAGTTGGACACATAACAGAATATAAAAACTTATTTATATTTATAAATTGATCTGATTAAATATTTTTAGAGCTTATTTGGGAATCACAGGCCATTGGTTAGACCCTAGGACTTTAAAAAGAAGATCTGTAGCCTTAGCCCTAAAAAGGATTATAGGATGCCAGACATATGACGTACTTGCAAATAAAATTATTGACATCCACAAGTCTTTTAGGATTCATAATAAAGTTTGCAAGATGGTTACTGATAATGGGTCTAACTATCTGAAGGCATTTAGGTTATATCACAAATTTATTTAAAATATTTATTTTAAGTTATGATTTTTTGGGCAGTAAATTAATCAGAATGGAATGGTTATTATTTAATCTATAAAATATTTAGTATTTTAATATTTCACATTATTTATAGAATTTTTATTTAAATACACACATATTTTAGTAATATTATGATTATCATAATTTATATCAAATTATAAATAAAATTAGTGAAATTAATTAAGAAAATATACAGAAGTGGATTATTTCATTAATTTTTATTGTACAGTGTCATTGAGCTATTCTAACATTTAATAAGATATGGTTATTGAATATTTCATGGATGATTAGATTTTTACTATATTTATTTCTTATTGATTAATTGCCATCAATTTATATACAGTACAGGGAATTCATTCAATGTCTTCATTTGATATCTGCTTAGTTACATTATAATTCCTGAGGTTCAAAATTTAGAATACTAAGATTTTGATAAATATTACTAGACATTTCTATTAAAACTGGATTAATAATTTAATTTGTCCTATTTAATATGAATATAGAATATTTGGTGAGAATAATGCTGAAGATGAGATACAGAATGATAGTCAACATGTATTGGAAGAGGAGGAAATAGGTGTTGATGCCAATGATATTAATGAGATCTTAGAAGATGGTTTAAATTATTTTATAATACATGTTAATCTAATCAATATTCTATAGGATCTTCAACTAACTCCACAATGTTACCCAGCCATCAGAGATGCTCCTGTCATAATTTAAATTTGATAGCAACAGTAGATGCTGAATGAGCTTTAAATGATGAAGATTTTAAAAGGGTGTCAAGATCGACATTTTATAAATGTCAAACTTTATGGAATAAGCAGAACAAATCTCCTAAAAGTTCTGACATGTTTAAAAAAAAATTAGGGAAATATTTATTAACCCCTAATCGTACAAGATGGAATTCTGTATACCAAGCAATAAAACTAATCGCTTTTTTCTGGAGGAAAGAAGATTAGAGAATAATTATCTCTGTGATCTTGTTGAAATTGAATATATTAACGATGAAGAGCATACTTTTATAAAAGAGTATACAGAAGTAATTCTAATTAATAATGATTCATATTTTTTTATAATCTAAACTAACTATATTTTTATATTTATAAATGTTGATTTTTATATATTATTTATTATACATTTACATTATAAGCAAAAAAAAATAAAAAAAATTTGTTTCTAAATTTTTTTTTATAAAAAGTAGCTTAAAAATAGCGAAAGCGGTAGCGCGCTACTTTTTTTGACAAATAGCTATAGCGGTAGCGCGCTACTTTTAAAAATAGCGTTTAACAACTCTGGTTATGATTTTAAATAACACATTCTTATTGAAATCATCACCTCGTTCGGACAGGCGGATTGATAATTTTAAGCAATGGCAAAGGAGGGGGAGGGGGTTAAAAACAGGAAGACAAGTGGGAAAAAATTAGACGGGCAGGAAACTTTCTTTTATTGTATATATATAGTATAAGTAATTTAGTAGCTAATTTTTAAAAAATTCAAGTTCATTGCTTGTGGAGAGAAAATCTAACTGCGAAAAAAAAAGATATCGATTTATTAAAGAAATGAGCCAAAAAAAAATAATCGAAATATTTGAGATTCATATGTTGCATAAAATTGAAACATTTCTTAGTACCATAATTTCGTAAACTGATGATTTATTTTAAATTAGATTAATGAAGTAAAAAAGTTATAGAATTGCAATTTAATTTTGGCGTAGGAGAGTAATCATTTCAAATTCAAATACTGTAGGCCTTAGTTTATATTTTAATTAGTGAAAAAGATTTTTTGGAAAATATAAATGGATAATATTTTACAACTTTAAATGTATTTTGGAAACGGGAGGCAACGGTTGAATATTCCTGCTCGTTCAATGTCATGGCGGATTTGTTGTCTAGTAGGGTTATGAACCCAGTGACATAACAAAATAAATCTAAGAAGTGAAGTTTGTAAAAAATTAACTATATTTTAGCTTAGGTTATTACTTAAGCTTTGCAATTTACTCGTGTTGTGCCTATATTTATCGAATCGGCACCGATATTTAGCGATCCGATATTTTTTATTGTTTTGGGTTATTTTATGATTGTATATATAATCCAATGACATATATAATACCTAGACTGACGATTCATTCATTAAAATGCATTTTTAAGAGTCGTTAAAAGCAAATCAGCTGACATTTTGGTAACACGTATAGTAATTATTCTCATGTTACAAACCACTATTAAATTGTTAACTTGCTTCCTTATTATCTCGATGATCCGGTAATTCTTTAATAAAGTTTGCATCCGATATAGGAATAAATTAGGCTCTCGTTTAAAATTTTAATAAGGATTAGTGTAACCAAGATGGCGTCTCCAGCTGATTTACTTTTTTTATTTTATAAATAATTTCATAATAATAAATTAATGAAAGGAACTAAATTACTATTTATTTGTTATAATGTTCAAAAAATTTTACACTATTTTTTGTTATGTTATCTACAACAAGAAAAGAATTTTAAAATATCTAACGAGTCACATTCATCTAGTGTTATTAAAGGGCTCGATTTAGTCAATTTTTCAAAAATGTTAATATATTGGCTAAAAGTAAATTACTCAAGCTTAACAGATGGCAGAAGGGTTTTTAAGCTTCGGTGAAATTGCGAGGCTTAAGCGAGAATATATTGACGTAAATCTTGATTTAGCTTTTTTTTAAAAAATCGATTAAATGAAGCTATTTAACAACACTACATTAACCCATTGCGTATTTTAAATGAGATTTAACTTTTGGAGAATAAGAAAAATAAAATACAGTTATAATCATTTTAGTTGGTTTTTTTAAATAGAAAAAATTGGTATTTTTATGACATTTATACAAAGATAGAAGGTAAATAAAAATCAATATAAATATTTGAATCTAATCTGTTTTTTTTAGCAATATCGGATCAGTGAAAAATTTATGGATCGGCACAGCCCAACAATTTACCTAGCAATTTATCATTAAAAAATTAGTTTTTTTATTAAGGTCTCACTTAAGGATTATCAAAAAAAAATGTTCCATTTTGGTATTGAAAAATGGTTAGCTATATTCGCGATTCCAGCAACTATCCGTAATTTTATTTTTAATACTGTTTTTATGTAGGGTATTTTCCTAAATTATAAAATTCCCTAATACAAGGTATCCTGCAAGGAGATCCTCTAGGTCCTGAATTATTCTGTCAGGTCAAATTAATCATAAAATAAGTCTCTTCAAGTAGTGACCTTAAATTAAACGTTTATAAAAAGAAACAAATCTATTGTCTAATTTTTTTTTTCGTTCTTTCCGCTTTGTATCTTTTGACTTGATTAGGTATTTTTTCGATCTTATAGGTTTTAGATTAAGACCATGTCTCCCTTTGGAATTAACTAATATTTTATGCATGTATGTGGTTGAACTATGTTACATCCAATTCGATGGCTTATGGCAACTCTTAATTGTTCATCTAATAAGAGGTTACCTAGGTTACGACTTGGTAATACTTCCAGCCATTCATAACTACTAGTACAGTCAGTATTTTATAATATTTAAATATATACTATGTAAGGGAGGGGATTTTAATTAAAGGTTCAAAAATTGATTGATGTGTTAAAAATATGGGTAAAGCAGCTTCAGGTAGAGCTAAAGATATCCAAGCTGTCAAGGTCGAATTTAAAAGGTTATCTTTAGGAGTGATATGACGTTGTTCATCA